CAGGGAAAAGGATCAGGAAAGGAAAAGGTACAGTGATAAAGCCCATTCTGTTTCCCATCTCCACTTTTCATGCCAAAATAAGCCTGTTGGCTTATCTCAGATGATACCATCAATAGACAAGCGGTCTCCATGAACCATTTCTATTGTTTTTAGGAGCTGTTTACTCATGTCTTTGCAGACCAGATAGAGGCATTGTAGATGGCCTGTTTTGGCCACCTCTGAGATTTCTCTTGATTTGTGTGGACAAGGGGGAATTCACTAAGAATTAATTGTGCCAGTTGATAGCAATGTTTATTTGTTGTCTTTGTTGTTTAACGCTTGGTTCTCTAAACGATTTCATGGATGTATGGCCAGTTCTAAAGCTCAATATCTAATATGTAATTATAATTTTATGAATAACTGCTGCCATGATCACCTGGAAAATGTGCAACCTTTTTTGCACTGAAATGCTGTGCTCCGAAGTGGTAAATTCACCCCTCTTGTTTCTTTTTCTCAGTTTAGTGTGGAAACACTTTGGGTGTTTATCAATTAGGTGCAACAGCTGCTGAAAAGACCCACACGGACAAATGCCCTTCTCTCTCTGAGATGACTGAGGTGCTTGAGCTGTGGAGGGACAGAAAGGCAGAGCTGTTATTCTAGTTAGAGATCACTGCTGGGTTGCTCTTTACCCCATGCTGCTAAACAACTACCAAACAGCTCTATAAGGAAGAGAGCTCCCAGCCCCCTTTTCCAGCACAGCTACCCCGTCCTGGATTAGCTGACTGACTGCGCTTGAGAAATTCTGGATGATCTAGTGTTGTTTGGCAGAAAAAAATCAATTTCTGGCATATATTTTCAGTCTAATACACAAAGAAATGAAATTGAAAAAATTCTGCAGGAATAACCTATAAATCTCAACATGAGAATCAATATGATTTTGGGATTTTCAGCATGCGTAGGTAAAAATTATTTGTGACTTCCCTACTGTGTTGTACTATAATGGATTTATACAAATGCTTCTGGGTCATAATCACCATTGGCATTAGTTTTTAATGCACTGGGTAATGCACTTTAATATTTATGCATTGTCCCCATTTGACCCTTTCCACAGTACCAAACATAACTGAACACTCTGTTTCTACTGTAGGTCTGTTCACATCAATTCTGTATTTTCACCACAAAAGCATGCACAATAATTTTTTTTTCACATTATCTAATGTGACAAATTCAGCAATATCTACTTTTTATTTAAACCAAAACCCTTACAGTAATGAAAATGATAATGTGAAAATTAAATTAGATTTGTGAAATCTAAAGTTTAGCATGCCTGGACTACATGTGCTACCCACTAAACAATTCATTCAGGTATAAAAGATTTTCTCAGACATTGATAAAAAATTTGGCATTGCATGGTGTTTAGTTGCATGGTATGATTTTTGGTGTTTAGTTGCATGGTGCTGTCTAGGACATCAGTGATGGTTTTCATGTGGATGGTGAGTTGATGAGCTGCAGGGGCTCAAGGGCTGAGATACTGAGATGCTACCATTATCACCATGGTTGACTGGAGCCATGTCTGTCTGGATAAAGACAGCCAAGAAGGGCATTAGTTCATTCCTCAACAGGGGTCTTCCCTTGGGGAGCATACTTGGAAGCCCCATGTTTTCCACCACACTGAGTGCCTTCACCCTACTTACCATTCAGAATCTTCATAGAGTCATCTCAGACTAATAGATGGGAACATTTCATCCCAAGATTAGAAGGGTGGCACTGTAAATAAACATCAAACTAGGGTGAATTCCGGTAAAACAAGCTACAATTTTCACCTCATCCATATAGGCAAGTAGAGTTAAACAGTGGAAACTGACATGCTCTTGGAGATTTGTCCGATTAATCCCTCAACCCGTGGTCACTAAGCATCTTTTCAAGGTCACTAAGGATGCTTGGCATAGTGAAGCTTGAGATCAGAGGTTAGATTGTTTGACTTGACTTATGATCTCTCAGAGACTAGTCGAGTTTGATTCATTTCATGGTGAACGAGATTGTGACAAATTTGGAAGAAATACAGAGTATACACAGCATATACACTAATGTGCAGTCAGTCTGTGGGATCAGTAAGATCTATTTTTTGAAAGAAATTACTGCTTTGATTCAGCAAGGATGCATTAAATTGATCAAGTGTCAGCAAAGATGGTTATAATGTTTCAAAAGATCTCTTTCCAATAAATGCAGCTCTTTTGAACTTTCTATTCATCAGTGTCCTGAAAACAAAATGCATCACAGTTTTCACAAAAATGTGAAGCAGCACACACTTTTCAACATTGAGAATAATAAATGTTTCTTGAGCAGCAAATCAGCATATTAGAAGGATTTCTGAAGGATCATGAGACACTGAAGACTGGAGTAATGATGCTGAAAATTCAGCTTTGCATCACAGAAATAAATTATATTTTAACATATGTTCATGTAGAAAACAATCCTTTTAAATTATAATAATATTTTATGATATTACTGTTTTTACTGTATTTTTAATGCCATAATTGCAGCCTGGGTGAGCAGAAAAGATTTTCGAAAACATAAAAAATTCTTACCGACCCATGGACTTTAACATCCATGGAACATTTCCATTCCACAAAAGGTTCTTTATACTGGAAAAATTATTAAATCTGCTTCACAATTTTTCCTTTCTCTTTGGAGTGTTACCAATCACAACGCATTGGATAGCTGGCCAATCAGAGCACACCTCGCTTTTTCAGACTGATGAGCTTTGTAAAAATCGACGCGTTTCAGAAAGGCGGGGCATAGAGGAGAAACAATAATGTACAGTATGTGGAAAATAATGTGTTTTTTTAACCTTAGACCGCATAAACACATTTCATTACACCAAATACACCAAATAATGTTCTTTTTAGCAGCATCATATGACCCCTTTAAGAACTGATCACTGAAAGGATTTTTGGAGAGCCAAAAATGGTTCCTTTATGGTTTTGCTGCGAAAACCCCCATTTGAAACCTTTATTATTAATAATGATATAGAATTCTTTAGTTGCTATAAGGTTCTTGATGTTACGTGTTACGTTCTTCATATCAGTGTATTGGTTCTAGAGGACTAGTTTGGCCCGCCTGGGTTCTGTGAAGCAGGTTTTCCTCTGAACCACAGGTTCTCTTATGACATGTGAAATTGTTTCTGGAAGCTTTATTTTTCACACTGAAAGGCAGCGATTACATCTGAGGGTTGGTTCATCTTCACAGTCAGGCGCCTTTGATCAAGACCCAGAGCTGGCCCAGGACTCCAGTCCAGCTCGCTTCCAGATAGATATTCCCCTTAAATGAAATCTTTGAATCTAGTCCCAGATGGGAGAAATCCTCAGAGGGCAAACATGAGAGGAATACTCTGGCAAAGCTACAAAGGAGAGCAGGGTATGGGATGGCAGAGGTGGTGTGCAGAACAGGCATATGAGCTGAACGAATCCAGGAGGATACAGAGAAGGTACTGGAGGAAATGCTTAGCAGACGCCACTCGTCTGGCGTAAACAAGGTCCATGATGCATTATCTCAGAAGAGGTCTGTGGAATAGGTTTTTTTAGGGTGATGTCATGCTGTTGAGGTGAGGAGAAGATCGGTCTGCAGTCAATGGATCATGTTTTAAATGTGTCATTTTTGGGATAAGTAATTCATTTGGTGACAAACTTTTAAATACTAAAAAAAAAATTTTTTTTATTGCAGTTTGGAGTTAGTCAGATTTTTTTATTTTTTTATGTTTTTGAAAGAAGTCTCTTCTGCTCACCAAGGCTGCATTTATTTGAAATTATTATTCAAAAATACAACAAAACAGTAATATTGTGAAATATTTTAAAATAACTTTTTTTTTTTTTTTTATTCTTGTAATGCAAGCAAAAATGCAGTTTAATTCATTTTGGATAAAAGCATCGGGGAAATGCATACATGTAAATGTAAATGTTCACATTGGCAATTGTTTTTACTTTATTGAACACTTATAGACTTCATGGAAAACATTTCCTTATTATTTGCATCATAAAATATAACTTTGCTGTAAAGTGTGCAAAATATTGAAGTGTGTGTGTGTGTGTGTTAGTCTTTGAGGGGTGCACACAGAGATAACACAGACACAGAGTTGTGCTCTATTGAGTTTGTGACCTAGATTGCTCTGCATTAATGCTGCCGTGTGCTAATGACGGCACGGGAAGAGAAGCTGTAGGTTTAGGTGTAGGGTTGGTGTAGGGCAATAGAATATACGGTCTGTACAGTAGAAAAACCATTACGCATATGGAGAGTCCCTACAAGGATGTGTAGCAAACCAGACGTGTGTGTGTGTGTGTGTGTGTGTGTGTCTGCAATATGTGTAATCACAAAGCACATGCATTTATTTTTCAACCACATCCGCATTACACCTCTCTTTAGGGGTTCATAATGAAAGTATATTGGGTATGTAATAAATATAAAATAATATATGACTACTTCATATTTTGAATTTCATTTTAAAATTGATAGATGCATCATGAATCAGGTGTTTGGCTCCATTAACACCTTTTGTCTCCCGCACAGTGATGCATTAGCCGCTGGCAGATTGCAGCATTGTTTAGCGAATGTTGGGCTATTGGATCAGCCACTGAGCTTATTTGCTTTTCACACCAGTTGCAGCTTCTCTTAGCATTTGAGGAAGTCATTAGAGCAGGTTTAGTTTTCGGCTACTGAGTTAAAGGTCTCATTCTGAGTGACTCTACATTCTTAACCAGCTCACATCAGCTGAAGACTATTGTTTCGCTTTGTGTTAATAGATTATCTTGGTAAAGCTTATATAGTCAAGAGGTGTGATGAAGCAGAAATCTAACGAAATTTAGTGAGGTTTATGCTAAATAAGGTGAAAATATGTTTTCTGGACTAAGAATATATATTTTCTGAAAAACAATTTGTGTCTTAAAGATGTCAACATGAATGATAAAATGTATATAGATACTAATGTACAAATAATTATTTTGTAACATTTTCTCTTTTATCTGCAGCGTTATCTAATCTGGACATTGAGAGCAAGCTGAGTGGACATTATCAGGCTCCATGGCACCTGCAGAGAAATGTGTTCCTGCCGTCGACTCGGCCCGCGTGTGTGGAAGAGCTGCATCGAAATGCCAAACAGAGCCTGCGGGCGCTGTACAGAGGTTAGACACGTTTACAAATCAATACTGATCCGTTATACAATCACTGAATGAACACCTTCTGTGATCATCGAAGTAAAGTTGCTCGCTCTGCAGTGCTCAGTGAACACTGCCCTCTAGTGGAGGAAGATGGAAGCATCAAATCTAAATAATGTGATTTGCTCTAAAGGACCTGTGTTATTTTAGTATTATTTATATACTATCAGAGTATTTGTTAAAATTTGAATTAGCTTTATTTTTATATTTTCATTTTAAATTTTAGTAATGTTGTTAAGTTTGTTGTAAGTTTGCTTTATTTATTTTTTTGTTTCTGTTTTAGTTGTAGTAATTTAGTACTTATTTTATTTCAATTAGCTGCCTAGAAAACAATTCTAATATTCATTGCAAGTTTTTTTAAAATCTAATATTTAATTTAATTTAATTTAATTTCAACGTTTTCATTAAAGGAAAGTATTTTTAATAGTTTTAGTTGGTTAACAATAACAACACTATAAATGACAGGTAATTTTGTCAAGTGCCTTTGTCATTTTTATTAGTTTAGTTTTTTAATAGTTCTATATGGCTTTAGTTTATTTTTATTTCAGTTTTAACTTGAGTCATTTTAGTGCTTAAGCTTATTTTATTTCAGTTGTCTACCATAGCAATATTTCTATTTTTCATCTTTTAAGACCTTTAAGATTAAGTTTAAATTTTTTTTTATCTAATATTTATATTTCATATTTATTTCAAATAACATAAATTATTTGTAATAGTTTTACTTTTAAGTCAACAATAACAACACTATAATTGACAGGATATTATTTTCATATAATTATATATAATTATATTATTATATATAATTTTACTTTTAGTAATTTTTAAGTGCTTTTGTCATTTTAGTCATATATATATAATATATGCATTAATTTATTTTATTTCAGTTAGTTTTGGTTAAATTTCTAATTTAGTTTTTTTATTTTTCATTTAATATTTATATTTCATGTAAGCTATAGAATAGTTTTAGATTTAATTTTAATTGAATTCAACAATAACAACACTGTAAATGACAGGATAGAACTATTAAAACTATAATAATAATATGAAAATGTAAATTCTTAAAGCAGAATGTATGTGTAATGCATATAAGCAAAGTGGTAAAAACAGCAAAAGAATGTCAGATGACAAAAATGATCCACATGCTATGATACATTAAATCTTTAAATCTTTAAATCTGCACTTTACATATCAATTAAAAATGTCAAAATGTAAAACCGGAACCAAAAGTTAAACAACTGAAAAAAGGACAAATACAAACATGATTTATTATTATTATTATTATTATGATTTCATATAACTCACACTATGATATTTCTAAATGCTAGTGGTGCTTGCAAGCATCACTGTTATTATATTACTCTTAGTTAAGGTTAGTGTTTTGAACAAACCCCAACAGTAAGTATTAAACTTCAGTGTAACTCGTCCAGCACTGTTTGTGCTCCAGACATGATAGAAATAGTCTTGTGCTCCAGACATGATAGTCTAGTTGATAGAAAGGACTGACGGATTTCTCTGTTGTGTGTGAAACTGCTCATCAGACCAGCAGCAGAGGCAGGAGGTCAGCGAGAGAGAGCGCAGGGTGACCATTTCCATCTCCATGACTCCGTCCATGCCCACCTACCCATCGCCCCGGGTGCACTGCAGACGCCAGCAGAGAGAGAGACACCTCACCACGGTAAACATCTGCCTGTCTGCCTGCACAATGTGTATTACTGGAGCTCTGATCTAGAGTGATTTCTTGTAGACGGAGTGTTGCTGATTGTGTCTATTGTGACGGAGTGTGTCTATGTGTTTAGGAAAGGACAGAGAGAGACATAGAAACTCAGACAACACAAGCACAGGTAAACACACGTCTGTGTGTCACACCGAACCTCGTCTGACCCGCTCTGCACTGCATGGAGATCTTTGATTTTAGCTGAATGAATCCATCCTTGTTGTCCTTTATTTTTGTATTTTTGCCTTGTGAAAAAGTAGTACACTTTAGCATACTTTTCAAAAAAGTACTTATTACACAAATAGTATTTTTTTAAAGCATATACTTAAGTGCAAACTGAATGTAATGTTTTTGGACACATATATATTTAATGAAATTGCAATTTAGTACATTTAAATTTAATTATTATTTTAACTTTAATCTCTTAACTGTCACCCCCCTTTCTGAACATAGACATGAAAATGCACAAACTTAAATGGATGTAATTCATGAATGCTTTGGAAGACAGACCTAAGGTTGGCATTTCAAAAAAAAACTGAAAGTGTAAAAAAAAGTATAAAAAAAAAAAGAAGAAGTTTAAGTTTACTGTAAAGAAAATGTACTGTACTTTTATATAAAATAATTTTTTTACAAAATATTTTGGAATCTAAAAATTGCTATAATATCAAAGGTGTATGTCTAACTAAGTTATGTTCCAAATTTGAAGTTGATATCACAAAAATTGAGGTTCCTTTGAGATTTTGTTTAGGCGCTATACCAAAAATAACGCAATGTCCATGATTTTCACATGATGAATTTTGATTTTAGTTTATTTTTAGTTTAGGTATTGGGTATGATTAGGGATGCATAATATTTGTTTATAAGTACTAATAAACAAATGCATGCTAATAAGCAAATAGATAGTAGTGAGAATTGGTCCCTAATCTAAAGTGTTAGCATAAAAAGATTATTAAAACATAAAGATTTAAAATGTACTTTAAATTAAATGTTTAATTTGACTATACGAAAGTGCCGTTTTTAAAAGTACCATTTTATAAAAGAAATATATAAAAGTGTAGTCTTTAAGTACACTTATTATAAGTACACTTTTATTTCATTAATATTATAGTATCGTCTGCTTAAAAATATACGTTTAGGATTTTACACTACAAGTGCACATTCGATACAATAAAGCACACTTCTTTTTCACAAGGGTCATACCGTGCAAAGCATGTTATCAACATGCATGTACACTTTACAGTAATTTAGAGATGATTTTTAATTTTAATTTTAAATTTTTAATGTTTTAGATTATTTATTCATTTTCAGTCTCATAGTTTGTATCTATGATTCATTGTGAATAAAGCAGATGCAGGTAAACAACTATATTAGCCAGGTTGCCAGTTTCTTTCTTTTTTTTTCTTTACCTTTGCATAAGTAGTCATTTCAGTCGAATGATTATTTTGATCCAGCTGATCTTAAAAAACAGGGAGTGTCTCTCTGGATGTCGTGCTTTAAGGACATTATGCACTTACTTATTTGTGCCAGGCTGGTCATTATGAAAATAACTCCTCTTTTGCAGCCAACCATGCGGCCATGTGGACAAACAACCTTAATTTCTTTGTTAAACCTCCTATAATAACACTATTTATTTCAGGATGTTCATGGGTTGCTGACAGGAGTTCATTCAATTGCGCTGGATTATATATCTTTACATAGTACACCGTGACTTAAAGGAATAGTTCACCCAAAAATGAAAATTTGCTGGAAATGTACTCACCCCCAGGCCATCCAAGATGTAGATGAGTTTGTTTCCTCATTAGAAGACAGATCTGAGAATGTAGCATTGCATCACTTGCTCACCATTGGATCTGAATGGGTGCCGTCAGAATGAGAGTCCAAACAGCTGATAAAAACATCACAATAATCCACACCACTCCAGTCCATCATTGAACATCTTGTGAAAAGCTGTGTATTTGTAAGAAAAAAAAATCCAACATTAAAGCATTTTAACTTTAAATCGTCACCTTTGGCCAAAATGTCAGTTCATAATCCATAATAACTCTGTATGTGAATTGGGTGTTGTAAATGTTTCAGTGATGCAGAATTGAGGACGACTTCTTAATTATATATAATCACCTAAATCTTTATTATCTCATTGTGTTTTGACAAGCACAGTGAATCTCGGCTGTTCTTTCAGTTTGTTCTTCCAGTTCCAATATGAAAGCAGATGCACCCTCATTGTGTTCACAGCTGTGTTCATGTTCACCCTCATATTCATGTCCATCTTGTGTGTTTGTATGTGTTGTAGTTCCAGAGCACCCGGTCCTCCTCCCCTACTGAGTGTTGTCATTTTTCCCCGTGGAGCAGAAAGGTATTTTACCCCCAAACGTCTCCTAAATCCTACATTCACGCTGATTTGGAAACAGTTTTACATCCCTAATCAAATCATAATCATGGGATGAGGCCAAAACCACTTCCAGATCAGTGGTTTATCAGAAAGTCATAAGATTTGGTTTGGTAGAATCTTCAAGACATGTCAGTGTTAAAGTTATTTAATGTTTATGAGTTTTATTATAAACGTTTAATCAGATTCTGAATGTAAACCAAATCTTAACAGGGCTCTTTTGTGTTTGTCTAACATCTAGAATTCTTTAAAACTTCTCTTCTGATGCTATTATTACCTTCTAACATCTACAGTTCATCTCAACTTTCATCTGGATATGCTAACATCAAAATGATGATCTGTGCATGCGTGCAAATCTGAATGATGGAAAATGTGTGTGAACCGATTTTCAGGGGCATTTTTGACCTTTATAAGAGCATACACTAACATTCAAAAATCACTATTTTTATTGACTATCCTTCTATTCACAATAGAATCCTGTAAAACTTTGCATCACAAGAATAAATTACTATTTAATTAATATTTTAAAATATATTCAAATAGAAAAGTTATTTTAAGTACTGTTTTTACTTTATTTTTGGTCAAATAAATGTCGCCTTGGTGAACATAAGAGACTTCTTTTAGAAACATTAAAAAAATTATACAGACACCAAACATTTGATCAGTGGTGTATTTCTTGTTAATAACATATGGAAATTAGTTTCCATGATTTTGCAAATCCGAGTCACTTTGAATTATCTTCATTATCTTTGGCCTCGTTTCTGACACTGGTAATGCTATAAATCAACACTTGCACAGACTAATAAAACTGCCCTTCTCATAGCCTCTCCAGCATTAAGCTCCTGAAATACTATGTAAGGAATGTCTATGGGAAACTCACACACACGGAAGTACGCAAGTCTGAGGTTTCCTAATGACAGGGTTTCCAGGGTAGAGCCGCTCTCTGACTGTCTGTGTGTGTGTGTGTGTGTGTGTGTGTGTGTCTGTGTGTGTGTCTGTGGCAGAAAAAAATATAATTGACCATCAACTCCCGGCACTGTGGCTTACTCACAAACCCCTGCCTGAGTGCCTGACTCCAAGATAGATACTTTAGAGAGTGAAAACACGAGCAGACACTCTCTGTCATGAGTTCCCTTTCGAAATATTCTCTTCAACTCACACTTGCTGTTGTCTGTCTTCTCTGATCCACTTTAGGGCATATACAGGGTCCAAAATAATTTTTTTAATTATTTAAAAACAAAAATGATCTTTGTTTCTTTTAAAGTTACCAGCTGTGATGTGTACGTTTTTGTAATCAGTGTAAAACATCTTTTACCACAAGATGTTTTTCACTTTCCTCCAGAAATCAATTTAGTGACACATAATAATTGAATAGATGGGATATTCCTCACATTAAGCCATAGTAATGAAAATATGAGGAACAAAATCATAATGGTTCATATTTTTGTTACATACTGGCTTGTCCCATATGATTGTAATATACTGTATATATATAGAGAGAGAGAGAGAGTGAGCATTTATTAATATTTTTAAAATGTATTATTATGTATTGTATTATGTTATGATAGTTTTTTAGTACATTAATGTGAACAGATGCATTTTTCATTGTTAGTTCATGCTAAATAATTTAGTTAACTGATGTTAACAAATTAAACCTTAATATATTAAGTGCTATTATTGTTTTATTTTGTAATTTTTCTTTATTTTCATTTTTCTTTATTTTTTTTTAATCACTTGCTATTGCAAGATTGCCAAAAGTTCTATTTTGGACCCTAGACACAGGTCTTGTAGACATACTATAACTTTCACTTTCTCCTGTTTCCTCGTGCTCCTTTACGATCTATGTTTCTCTCTTTCTGCTGTAGAACTTCATGAATGGCATTCTTTCATTCCCCTGATGTCTCGTTTCTTTGCTAATCAAAATAGCTTTTGAACAAGAGCCAGATGGAGAAATCAAACCGTCACATTTGGCTCTTTCCCAGCCCCCTCCTCTCCTGCTCATTTTGGCTCCATACACTTGTTTTTTTCCTGTTCTTTTTCTTTTGCTTTGATCCCGTGTTTTCCAAAACTCCACTTCACCCCTTGTCCCTCATTTCAGCGCGGGCAAACAAAACGGTCATAAACTCCCTTTGATTCTGTCCATCTGTTTTTGTGGTGCTTCACTCTTTCTTTTCGTCCTCCTCTGGTTTTTGGAGAAGTTTCCGTGGTAACACATTTTTTTGGCTGCTGTTTATTGTGGGATCCTCATTGGCTGGCTGGGAAAGGGACACACAAAGACTCAACATCACAGCTCGCTTTAACACTGTGCATGTTCATATGTGGCTGGGTGACAGCCACTAAACACTCCAAACTTTTTTAGTTAACACTCTTTAAACTCCACAAGGTAAGTTAACTGATTAGATTAACTGACAGGATTTAGCAAGTGTACTTCAGCTGGTGCAATGGGTGACATCTGAAAAGTAGGAATTGAACTTGCATTGTGTCGTTTGCTTCATGTAGATATGCTTTTGTTTCATTTCTTATAACTTTTTTTCCTTAAACTATTGTACGCTAAGGCATCTCCATTGTCATTTGCTTTGCATGTTTCAATGCGTCTTTATGCATGTGCATGTAGCTTTTACAACTAAAAATGTAAATGTTCTCCAATTTTAAGTATGTTGTTCCACTTTTTCCACAGACCTCATGAAATCAAAATTTATTTTTGTAGGTTTTAGTCCATGTTTCTTAACACTGAAGTCATCAACAGTATACTGTATGCAAGTGCACTGCTAAAAGTTAACTTTAAGCACACATAAGCGTTGAAAATTTAGTCTTCTTTTCCAGGAAAAATGGACCAAAAGCAATAATGACATTCTCAATTTTTAGTGCATTTGCTGTCACCACTGACTAGCAAAAATCCCTAGCAAATCATGACTGTGACGTAAACAAAGACCATTGGCTATTTATACGAAAAAAGGCCCAGCTTCCTGTTTTAATTGGAAATAAATCAATTTTGAAGGATAAACTGCACTTATCAAGTGAATTCATGGAGTCTTAAAGATTAAAGCAAGTGAAACCATTATTGATTTGTTAGATACATCTATAAGAGTTTTCCCAACCTCACTAACCTCATATTCTTCACCATAATCATGTTTTAGGTTGCTCCTCCAGTGGATTCAGATTCAGAGGTGGTGGCTCTGGGCCACTGGCCGAGGTGCCCGATCCCAAACGAGCCCTCAACGCTGGACAAACAGACCAACTGGGCTGGAATCTTACCATTGCCCAGCCCAGAGGAGAAGATGAAGACAGACTCTCAAGTCATCACCTCATGCATCGTTCCCATTAACGTAACAGGTAAAAGCCCCCAGTGTTTGCTGTTGATAATGCATGCTGAGTCAGGACTGAGTATGACACTTAAATGGTAGTTCATAGCATATATAATGTTTTTTTGTAAAATAATTTTTATTATTATAAGGAAAATTGAAGGCTACATTCATTTTAGTATTGCTCAACTACATACTATTGGGCTCAAGTCTGGTGACGCTGTCACTACTGAAGGAGAACTTTGGTCCATTAGGATAGTGTTGTTGTAAGTCTGTAAAAAAAATTGGTAGAAACAATTTTTCCTCATAAATTGCTAGTAAATTTCACACAAAAAAATGCAAAGAAATGGCAAGTAACACTCTGAACTTTTGAAGTGGAAACACTGAAATAGTATTTTCTAGTAAAACATTCTCCAATAATATTCGTTTTATTTCACATTTTTTACACTGTAAGGGACTCTTAACAGATAATGCCAGGAGCTTTTGTGCCAATTCATTTTTGGCATTGACAAATAACTGTAGTAGTAGTAGTCCCTAAACATAACAATTAGTGCATTTTGTTTTTTATTTTTTATATCTTTATTTTCATTTTTCTTTATTTTTTTTTAATCACTTGCTATTGGAAGATTGCCAAAAGTTCTATTTTGGACCCTAGACACAGGTCTTGTAGACATACTATAACTTTCACTTTCTCCTGTTTCCTCGTGCTCCTTTACGATCTATGTTTCTCTCTTTCTGCTGTAGAACTTCATGAATGGCATTCTTTCATTCCCCTGATGTCTCGTTTCTTTGCTAATCAAAATAGCTTTTGAACAAGAGCCAGATGGAGAAATCAAACCGTCACATTTGGCTCTTTCCCAGCCCCCTCCTCTCCTGCTCATTTTGGCTCCATACACTTGTTTTTTTCCTGTTCTTTTTCTTTTGCTTTGATCCCGTGTTTTCCAAAACTCCACTTCACCCCTTGTCCCTCATTTCAGCGCGGGCAAACAAAACGGTCATAAACTCCCTTTGATTCTGTCCATCTGTTTTTGTGGTGCTTCACTCTTTCTTTTCGTCCTCCTCTGGTTTTTGGAGAAGTTTCCGTGGTAACACATTTTTTTGGCTGCTGTTTATTGTGGGATCCTCATTGGCTGGCTGGGAAAGGGACACACAAAGACTCAACATCACAGCTCGCTTAAATATACCCAAGCGACTTAAGACTGGTTTTGTGATCCAGGGTCACATTTTAGGTATTTTGTGTGTTTCACATACTATTAAATGTTCTTATCATCGGCCCTCAACATCTGCCATTTAAAAAACCCAAATTGTTGACCTCAAATGTTTAGCATTAGCTATTTCAAACTTTAGAATTCCTGCACTAGAAATGACAAGCTATTGGCTTTCATATTTTGCTATGATAGTTTTCTGCAGGAACAGTGGGTAACACTTTATAATAATAACTTTAATAAATCATTAACATACATTTTATAATGCTTTACAAATCATTAGTTAATATATATTCAAATAGTTAGAAATGTGAGATAATGTGCTTGTTAATGTTTACTAATGAACTTATTGAACATTACCTAATGATTAACAGATCATTATTTCATGTAAATTAAAATGCTTACAAATGTCAGCAAACTTTGAATTCATACAATCGTGCACATCTTGAAAATCTACAAATGATTTTAACAGGTGTTATACAATGATTAAAGGGGTCATAAACTGAGAAATCATACATGTAAGAGGTCATTGTACTATAAAAACATCCTGTAGGTTTCAGAACTCAAAACTTTCTCATTATTCTAAAACAGCTTATATTGAAGCCAATCTGCCAAACGTCAGGTTGTGGAATGTGTCACGTGATAGTGTGGCTAAACACCGCCTCCGCAGAAAAGGATCAACGCCTGCTTCTACATCACTGCCTGTTTAGCTCCGCCCACCGATTCGCACACATAGTGTATTTTTTATTTTTAATGAAGTTCCAGATCGCATCAGTAAGAACTTGGTCGTTTGTTCACTTTATTTTACCACGGATTAGTTTATAAATAAGACGCAATTTGACACAGGATTTTCAGAAAGATTTAAACTAAAAGATGATGCTGTGTGGAGCATATTGGATCCGACAGTAATCAGCAGTGGGTTTTTACTTCCAAGTCTACAATCCACCACACCTATTCAAACAGAGCGTTCCAATGAGGGGGTCAAAACAGGACAGAAAATAGCCTATTACTTCTAAATTATGACATATTTTGATTTAAAAAATCTTTATAACACTATAAGTGGACCTCAGAGAACAGTACAAAATAAAATAAAAAACAGTGGAAGCAGTTCATGACCCCTTAAAAAGCTTTTGTTAATGTACAACACTTTAGAGGTGTGATACGGGTAAGGTTAGGGACAGGTTTGGTGGTATGGGTAGGTTTAAGGGTTGGTTAAGGGGTCAACAGTGTACGGAGATCAATTTGATTACTATGCGGGAACCCTGTTCAAACTGTTTATATGATAACATTTTGTTTATATTTATATTTACATGATATAATGATCTGTTAATCATTAGGTAATATTTAATAAGTTCATTAGTAAACTTTAACAAACACATTAACTCATATTTCTAGCTATGTGAATATATATTATAAGCATTCTATATTGTTTGTTAATGATTTATTAATGAAAGTTATTATAAAGTTTTACTGAACAGTCTATATTACATCTCATAACAATCTAATTGAGAGCATCAACATCTTGACCAAAGTTCTCCTCTGGCATCAATGAACAGAAGGATTACCTTGTGAGAACGCTGAATTTTGCGTGTATTGTTTTCAGAGGAGGGTGCCAACGCTACTTCCCTCTCAGCGATATCAGCTTTCCTAAGTGAGCGATCTTTTACATGTCCATTAAGTTCCCCCCTTCAGTATCAGTGCCACTTCATTCCCTAACCATCACCATCTAGAATAACGTGCGAAGAGAGAGAGAAGGGGTTGCCATCTCAACCATATTAACACTCTCATTTTGGCTGTTGTAGCTTCCTAATTTAATGAAAAAACGATATTCATGATATTCGATATTTACATCACTAGCCCATGCTACTATAAGTCAGCACTAAGTGGCTACTAACTTAAAAAATGAACAGTTAGTAATCCTGAAACATATATGGTAGATTATGATTGCTTTAGACTTCTGCCATTTTAGACTTTTAGACCTTTCACTAATTTCCACAAAACACGTCAGCAAAATGTTTGACAGACAGAGAGCGTATCCTCATATGCAAAAAAAAAAGCATGGGCTGCTCCTTTGTTTATGGCTGTTAGTTGAAGGTTGAATAAGGCCATGATCAGATCCTCTTTATTCCACGACATGTGATTAATGTTTTAACATAGATGAAACATTGTTTTGAGAAGATTCATTTTTCTAGTTGTCAGAAGGTCCCAAACTGAAGAATCACCCAAATACGTTAGAATAATAACAGCATTAGACACACTGGAAAGTAGGTTAAAATCTGCAAGTCATGAAATTTGAAACAAAAAAGTTCTTAGTTGTCGTGGTAACTTACTTTGTGCCAAGAAATGCAAAGAGTCAAGAAAGCGTTTTGTGCATGCTAATCAGTTGCATTAGAATTACAAAGAGGCCAAATATATCTACTCCAGGCTTGACTGGAATGGGACTTTTGAGGTGCGTGTCCGCAAGGATTGAGTCAAAGACAGTGTTGACTGGAAATTGCACATTACGGGCACAGTGGTGTAATTGGTGCTCAAAGAGCCAAGCCTGCAATCACATGAGAGTCGTGATGCATGACACTGGACAAACATCAAAACAAATAGAGCTTCAAATCAAGAGTACAGCAGCAGATTGCAGTATAGAGAGTAAGGCTAGGGTTGGGTAGGACTGTTATACTCCCATTTTCAACCCTGTTTTTTTTTTCCATTCTGATGTCTTGAATCTGTTGCTCCTTTCACCTTGCATGACATTGCATACTGTCCGATGTATTTTTGTGTCAGTTAAAATATTTTAACGTGATTGGAAACCATCTTTTTTTGTTGCATTTATTATTTTATAATACATGCATTTTTTTCTTCTGAGATGTGTTGTTAACCTTGTATAATGATGCATATCTTGTGAAGATATATTTTTTTTATATGTGATATGTGAAAGTACTGTTATATACTGTAAAATATTATAGTAAATATATAAAATTTTCAATATTTTTAAATACTGTATATATAAAATTGCTAAATAATATTTAAAGAAATTATTTTTTAAATTCAGAAACATTCTCATTAAAAGAACATACAATTATCATGACTAAAATATCATATTTAGCATGACAATCTCAGTGGTTTATGAGTGTGAGAAACATGGGAGGGATAAGTAGAAAAAAATGGCTTGCACACAACAGCCTCTCACATGTCTGGTGCTCTTTGCAGGGGTTGGGTTCGACAGAGAGGCCAGTGTGCGCTGCTCACTAGTCCATTCGCAATCAGTGCTTCAACGGCGAAGGAAACTAAGGAGACGGAAAACGATCACTGGCATTCCCAGACGAGTGCAGCAGGATTTTGGTGTGTGAAGCTGTAACATTCTCCTATTACTCTTTAGGTTTTCATTACTTGTTTATTCACAGTATAGAACAATCATATATTAAGAGTAACGGCATAAATAAAACATTAATTTATTACTGAAAAAATCTTTCATCACTTTTTAGATTCTGACGAGTCTCCAGTGGCCAGAGAACGTACCGTGATAGTCCACACCAACCCTGAAATTTGCCAAGAGGATCTCACGCTCTCTCGTCTCAACACCAAGGACTCTGGTTGCCAGACAGAAGAATTCCTGATTGTTGGGGCTGCACCCTCACGTAGACGGATCAGAGCACAAAGGGGGCAGGGCGTGACTGTGTCACTGTCCCATTCCACGGGCAACATATCTTTTCTGCCTGACAACTCTGACACAATGTTCACTGCCTCAGTAGGCTCCCGTCTGCGTTCCCGAAGTCTCCCGCGTGAGGGAGGGCGACTGGTGGACGAAGGTCATGATGTCAGTGATGAGGATGATGAGGAGGAAGAACTGTCCCCGTTTGAGTCAGAGGACTTCCTACCAGTGCCAGGGGAACATATTCTAAAAGATGATGAAGAAAGCACTGATGACCAGGCAATCCCAGAGGGCCAGCATAACAGTTTGAAATTCAAGCAGCATGCTGGATGTACAGAGCATGACTGGATGGAGAGGGGTCGATCCCATCTGCCTCGGAAAGCTGACATGGGTAGCTGTGAGATTTCTTCCAGTTCTGATACGTTCAGTAGCCCCATTCACTCCGTTTCCAATGCTGGCGTGCTGACTAGCCAGATGGACCACAAGGAGGATCACCAGTCCTCAAGCGGCAATTGGAGTGGCAGTAGTTCTACATGTCCCTCCCAGACATCAGAGACCATTCCACCTGCAGCCTCACCCCCACTCACCGGATCATCCCACTGTGATTCAGAACTATCGTTGAATGCAGCTACCAATACTAATGATGATTCCACAGGCTTCATTATTGATCCATATCCTGGAGACCGATCACAAGGCCTTCGTAGCCATAGGACAGGTTCATTCACTTCCACTGCGACTGACATGCTTGATGATGCGGGAGTCAGCACTGCTAGTGAGGGTGAGTGGAGCTATCCACACTACAGGCACAACATGCCTTGCCACCCCGACTTCAGTCCTGAGCACTCTAGGGCAGAGAATATCCTAGATTGTCCCAGTTTTGCTAGCATAGCCACTTTTGAAAGTTTAACAGATAAGCCACCTTCTGAAAAGGCTGACACCACCTCACACTTTTCTGTAGATGCCGAGGGCTACTATACCTCCATGCACTTTGACTGTGGTCTTAAAGGTAGCAAAAGCTTCACGTTTAACTATGCATCTGTAGACCAGCAGCAGGCAGAATATGGACATCAAACAAACACACTTGGGAGATGTAGTCTCTCTCTAAGGAAACCAAAGGTGAAGCCATTCCCACCAAAACGCAGCTCATCCTTGAAGAAAATAAGCAGCCATGTTGGACCTCCATCTGACAAGAACGAACCAAAGATTGCTGGTGGTCAGAAAAAATCTATGTCTTCCGGTGAGAGAACACAGCATGTGGGGTTAGACGGAGGCTCCTCGAGTCAGCTGGAGAGTGAGGAGCCACTGGGGGCTTGGGGTGTTGAGAGTTCTACAGAGATTCCAGAAGTTGCTTTGTTTGGCTCCACAGAAACGCATTCCTTCAAGGATGAGGGAGCTGTCCAGTCAGACTATGCTGATCTCTGGCTTCTTAATGACTTGAAATCCAATGATCCTTACAGATCATTGTCAAATTCCAGCACAGCTACGGGTACCACTGTCATCGAATGCATTAAGTCACAGGAGAGCTCTGAATCCCAGACTTCCCAGTCAGGATCTAGGGCCACCACTCCTTCACTACCATCCGTGGAAAGTGAGTTTAGATTGCCTTCACCAGAAAAGCTGGTAGTTCTAGCATCACCTTCCAGTGGCTATTCAAGCCAGTCAGAGACACCAACATCATCTCTTCCGTTGGCTTTCTTCCCAAACGCTCACCCAATGTCCCCTAATGGTGGCAAAAGGAAACCCAAAGTCCCAGAGAGGAAGTCCTCACTTGCTTCTTTGCAGCAGTACTCATCCAAAAGAGACTTGGAATTGCCTGTCATACCCCCCTCCCACCTTGACCTAAGTGCCCTTCCCAATGTCAGCAAGCCTTCAATTCACAAAAACCAGATGCACATCCTCCACCAGAGCAAACAAAAGGCAGCAGCTTCAGCAGAAACCAAGCGTGAGAGTCTGGCAACTTCGGTTTCAAGATCCTTACAGATCATTGTCAAATTCCAGCACAGCTACGGGTACCACTGTCATCGAATGCATTAAGTCACAGGAGAGCTCTGAATCCCAGACTTCCCAGTCAGGATCTAGGGCCACCACTCCTTCACTACCATCCGTGGAAAGTGAGTTTAGATTGCCTTCACCAGAAAAGCTGGTAGTTCTAGCATCACCTTCCAGTGGCTATTCAAGCCAGTCAGAGACACCAACATCATCTCTTCCGTTGGCTTTCTTCCCAAACGCTCACCCAATGTCCCCTAATGGTGGCAAAAGGAAACCCAAAGTCCCAGAGAGGAAGTCCTCACTTGCTTCTTTGCAGCAGTACTCATCCAAAAGAGACTTGGAATTGCCTGTCATACCCCCCTCCCACCTTGACCTAAGTGCCCTTCCCAATGTCAGCAAGCCTTCAATTCACAAAAACCAGATGCACATCCTCCACCAGAGCAAACAAAAGGCAGCAGCTTCAGCAGAAACCAAGCGTGAGAGTCTGGCAACTTCGGTTTCAAGTGATGAGCTGGCAGTCACTAGTCCTTTGGCCATCACTCCTACGGTGCTTCGTTCAGTTCAGCTACGTTCAGTTGGCAAATCTGGAGAAGGGAGCCACGATCGGCCTATAACTGATATTTCCACTAGGCCTAAGTGTCCCACTGTGACTATCATTACCCCACCTACTCAGAATAAACTCCATGAAACTAGGAAGCCTCCACCCTATAGACCCCTTCTCAAAGAAACCTCCTCTCAGGATGATTGTGAATCACTGTTTACCCCAGTAGATGGACTAGCTGCTAAGAATATAGCAAGCCATTTTGGTGCAAGAAATAGATATGACCGATTAGCCCCATCACCTCTTTGGAACATGATTGCTTTTAAGGCCCAGTCTGAGCAGTTGAACATGGATGAAGTGACGTTTGAGAATTCTCAAGAAGTTGCAGAAGAGGTGAGCACCTCAAATAATTTATTTGCCCAGAGTAGTCTGGAATTAGAGCAAATTAAGCCATTGAAATCTCAGCCAAATGAGGGAAGCCTTGGTCAGAATGGTCTAGCAAAAAGGTCAGAAAGTCTTGACCAAGTGCCTGATACTGTCAAGCAAAGATCAGAGGCATTGCAAGCTTATCCAATCAGTGGTGCTGGAGAAGAATATGTAACATCAGGTGTTCCAACCAGAAGTGCCTCACAGGAACATGTAGAGGAAGGGTCAACACCAGACACGGAGGACTATTTTAGCAAAGGTTTGTTTGTGTAATATTTCTTTTATGATGTAAACTAACTGCCATTTTGTGTAATGTTTTAGACATGTTGAATTGGAATGAGCTTCAGAGTTTCTATTTCAGAGTCCACACCAAGCGATCCAACTGTGTCCCCTCTGACAGACGAATCCAAAACAGAGGACGATAGCGTTTTTCTTTCACCAAGTAAAAGTCGCACAACAGAAGATCTCTTTGCCATGATTCACAGGTGTGTTTCAAGTTTATCTGGTATATTTTTTTTATTATGGTATATTATGGTATATATTTTGGTGTATTGATGATCTGAAAAAGTACTGAAAATCGAAAAAATGCTTATTGTCTCTTGTTTTGTGTTTTGCCATCTCAGGTCAAAACGAAAAATGCTGGGCAGGAAAGATTCTGGAGAAATGTCCGTGCGGAGCCGTTTAGCCGTTGTTTCTGGGAATGGCTCTGCTACTGATCCTGCAACCTCGCCAAGCACCCCAAACATGCCTGCAAGTCCATCTACTCAAACTGGGGCTCAGAGAGCCCCAGGTTCAATTTACAGGAGTGCCAAAAAGTCCAGTACCTCGAATGAAGAGTTCAAATTGCTGCTGTTGAAAAAGGGAAGTCGGTCCGACTCCAGTTATCGCATGTCAGCTATAGAGATCCTAAAGAGCCCCAGTGCACCCAAAAGCCCCGGTGAGCTCCTGATGGAGGATTCTAGACCATTTGAGGAGCCGCTCTCTCCTTTACAGCAGCAACTTCCAGAGGGAACTCCCGAGCAAATGCACAGCCCCTTTCCAAAATCTTATGCTGAGGGCTTTTCCACAAAAGCTTTTCCCACATCTGCCTCAACTAGACAAGGCCGGTCAAGGATGCCACCAGCTGCAAATAGCAGCCGCTACAGTACACGCAGTCGGCTGTACACTGCCCCCATGCAGGCCATATCAGAAGGGGAAACAGAAAACTCAGATGGAAGCCCACACGATGACCGTTCCTCCTGAAAAATGAATCTTTGAATTTTAGCATCAGTCTATACACAATCTTTGACATCAAGTCAATAATGCTGGGCACTTGGCATACTCAATTCTGTTCTTAAGAAGACCGTGAACCGTAGACAAAACTATGTTATGTCTGTACTCTTTTGTATCAAGAAGATCAAAACATTCAGATAATGATTTTCAGTAGCGGTGTTCTAATAACTTCCATGAGCATATTTATTTTAGGTGTATCCTTTGTTTGTGTACCTTTCATTTTAGCATGAGAGTGGAGAAAACTACATGATAAAAATCCATCACTTTGTAATTATTCACAGTGAATCAATTGCGGATGCTTATTGTCACACACATTTAGCATAGTCTACAAAGATAAAAACAGTACTGTACTAGGGTAACTGTGAAAATGGGTCCAGATGGTGTTAAAAGAAGGGAAAATCTTTCTTGTAGCTTAAACACAAACTGATTATGGCAGACAGCTTGGGACAATCAAAGAGTGGCCTTTTGTATAGCTGTAGCATAAATGGGCTAAGAACTTTTGAGTTAGCCCGCAACTGGATCTTACTGGGCAAGAAATGTAGCTGTGTTGGAATATTCTGATGGCCAACCACTATTTTGCACTCCTTTTGGTACTGAGAAAATGTCTGAAATTTTAGAGAATTCTTACAAAAAATGGCAAATGAAAATAAATATTTATATATAGAATATGAATTTTTTTTTAAATAAGTATTTTTAATGAGATTAGCTTAAGAAAGTAACAGACTCTGGCAAATTGTGTCCTTATGTGGCATTTTTAAGATATTGAGCTTTTTAATGCGACATCTAATAATTTTAAAGCAATGATGCAATTAATGACCACATGATTCTTCCCTTTCATTCAATGTTTAGCTTTTTTAAAGCACATTTCTTTAAAAAATAAAAATTAACCCATTGTTTCTATATCAATAAATGGATCTAAGAAAAACAACGACAGCTACAACACGGGCACTAGATGTATTCTGTGAATACTGTACCAGTCGTTTCTGATATATTAATGATTCTGCTCATTGTGAAGTGATTTTTTTGTTATTGATCACTGATCCACACAGCAGGACTAATACTGTGCAAGCATTTTACAGCCAACTTGAAATTATGCCTCTGCCGCAGTAGTTGTAGCTTTTATATATTTCACTTTAATAGATCAAATTAACTGCATGCAATAAAACTTAAGAGAGGAGCAAATACTGGTACATCATTTTTTTAAGCGTATCAAGGAATTTGCCTCACCAAGATGTCAGATCTGTGAGGCCATGAGCTGTTTCTGGTCAAAAATCAGATTGAAACACTCTTGACAATCTTTTTCAAAAACATTTATATGTAGTAAACAGACTATGGCAGAATAATATTGTAGAAGGATAAGTAGAAGTTTTTAGAAGTGTGTCGTGGAAGTGCTTTTGGTCAGGAGGCTTTTGCAGTTTGTGTTGCTTTGGGTTTGAATTTGCGATGTTGATAGGGCAATGAGGAAAGTTACGAGAAGGACTTAAAGTTGGGTATAGTCCTTGAAACTGATGGAAAACATATTCTTTTCTCAATGCTGTTGCTGTTTGTAGCACAGACAGTAAAATATCCAAAGAAAGACTACAGAGATGTAGTGTCAAGTCGGATTGAGAGACAGAGCAAGTCTGAAGTAAGAGGGTTTGCATCTTGATAGTTATATAAAGACTTTCTTTTGCTGGAGCAACAAATAAATCTGTGTGTGTTGAGGATGTGCTGAAAAGGATGCAAAGGAAAGAGGTTGTAAAAAAAGGTTGCAAAAGACAAATGGACTTGGACTACTCTTTTGGTTATCGTTTTTCCCGGCTTCTTTTTTTAAATCAGTTTCCAAGAGCCACCTCATGTTTTTCATTTTGGTATTAAAGCGAAAGGATTATTAGTATCTAGCTGGCTTTTATGAAATATTGGGCTTTGATAAATTTATGACTGCAGATTTATTTATGGATTTATGGACTTATGTTTTTCTTTTCAGAGGTAAAGCTTTAGTGGGAAAACACTGGTTTTAAAAGACAGACGAATTTAATGCAGAAAATAAAACCACTTATAAATAATATAAAATATATTAATAGCATAAGCTACTCTGTTAACGATCCTTTGGTGTCCAGTAACGTATTTGGCATTTCTCTCCTTTGTACCATTGACCTTCTGGTGTGTTTGCAATTTACCTTGCTTGGTGAGATTTAGTCTTTGGATCATTTACAGGACCAGGTATTTGAGCTGTCCTCAACTATTTGATCACTAACAACTAACTAGCTTTGATGATACACAAAGGGGAAAACACACATTTACAAACCTGAGCAATATTAAATTTTTTTTGCGTATCTAAAAGGAGGTGAAGACTTTCACTATCTTTCTCCAAGACAGAGGATTTGCCTCACCAAGATGTCAGATCTGTGAGGCCATGAGCTGTTTCTGGTCAAAAATCAGATTGAAACACTCTTGACAATCTTTTTCAAAAACATTTATATGTAGTAAACAGACTATGGCAGAATAATATTGTAGAAGGATAAGTAGAAGTTTTTAGAAGTGTGTCGTGGAAGTGCTTTTGGTCAGGAGGCTTTTGCAGTTTGTGTTGCTTTGGGTTTGAATTTGCAATGTTGAGAGGGCAATGAGGAAAGTTACAAGAAGGACTTAAAGTTTGGTATCATCCTTGAAACTGATGGAAAACATATTCCTTTCTCAATGCTGTTGCTGTTTGTAGCACAGACAGTAAAATATCCAAAGAAAGACTACAGAGATGTAGTGTCAAGTCGGATTGAGAGACAGAGCAAGTCTGAAGTAAGAGGGTTTGCATCTTGATAGTTATATAAAGACTTTCTTTTGCTGGAGCAACAAATAAATCTGTGTGTGTTGAGGATGTGCTGAAAAGGATGCAAAGGAAAGAGGTTGTAAAAAAAGGTTGCAAAAGACAAATGGACTTGGACTACTCTTTTGGTTATCGTTTTTCCCGGCTTCTTTTTTTAAATCAGTTTCCAAGAGCCACCTCATGTTTTTCATTTTGGTATTAAAGCGAAAGGATTATTAGTATCTAGCTGGCTTTTATGAAATATTGGGCTTTGATAAATTTATGACTGCAGATTTATTTATGGATTTATGGACTTATGTTTTTCTTTTCAGAGGTAAAGCTTTAGTGGGAAAACACTGGTTTTAAAAGACAGACGAATTTAATGCAGACGATAAAACCACTTATAAATAATATTAAAAAATATGAATGGCATAAGCTACTCTGTTAATGATACTTTGAAACATAATGGTGTCCAGTGGTGTATTTGGTATTTCTCTCCTTTGTACCATTGACCTTCTGGTGTGTTTGCAATTTACCTTGCTTGGTGAGATTTAGTCTTTGGATCATTTACAGGACCAGGTATTTGAGCTGTCCTCAACTATTTGATCACTAACAACTAACTAGCTTTGATGATACACAAAGGGGAAAACACACATTTACAAACCTGAGCAATATTAAATTTTTTTTGCGTATCTAAAAGGAGGTGAAGACTTTCACTATCTTTCTCCAAGACAGAGGTAAACGATTTTGTAAGCTACCATTCCAACATTGTAAAGTCTAACCTTAAAATTTGCACTGATGTTTAGTATGTTGTGAAGGTTTTCACATTGTCTATTGCTGTACCTAAGGCTATTTAAACAGGAATAGTTAACACATAGCAAAAGCAATTATGAATTGAAATCTCATATTGTTAAAGTTAAAGCATGCTTGGTGAATGGTAACATGCAAAGATTTGTGTACCAAAGGATTTCAGAGTTGGACAAACACTTGCTGTACTGTACACACACAGTTACGTGATGTCTTTTCTGGTACTAGACTGAAGTCTTCAAGCAACTAAAATTATATATATATATTTTTTTTTGTACAAATTTGTAAATAGAATACCTTTTAAAATCGTTTCCAGGGTGTTTCTTATGTAACATGTTTTCAAAGTTTACATTAATTATAAGCGTTTGTATATTTTTGATTTGTGCAACACTTTGAGTCTTGTATTTATTTTTTAGTAAACTTTGTGGAAAGTCCCATTGTAAAATGTCTCTAAAACCGTTTGCCAGCTTGTCTGGCTGTTTAGTAAATGTGCATAGAAGAAGCCAATAAATGTGACTGCTTTAAACACTTAAACGTGTGTGTAAATGTTCATTTATAAAGATAGGTAATAATGCTGAATTGGGTGAAGCATGCTAAATTGTGTAACATTTTAAATCATAACATTATATGAAATATAAAGCTCAAGGATGCAATGGTTTTAATAGAGTTTGAGATGTTGTAGTGGAATAAAATAATGGCTTTTTGTTAGTGAAGTGTTAATGTGTAAACTAGAATATGAACACAGCAAGTACACCTGCTCCACTTTGACAGGTGTTTTCATAGTTTTTCGTTTTGAAACTAAACGCTATGGGTTTGGTTAATTAGAAAACTGAGAGCCACCAATGATGAAAATTAACAATTTTGCTTTTCCATTTCTCGATTGGCATAGATCTACAAGCACATGCTAACTGGGATAAGTACCTCGAAAAGCATCAATGTTTGCATTGCGTAGGTTAATTCAAACACATTCTGCCCTCAAACTGAAATACTGAAGCCGCAGTGCAGTTTTCAATGTTTTAAGAATGTAGATGTTTGCAATGATTCGATGAAGTGAAGGTTATTCAGTGATCTCTGACCAAGATGTTTGCGACTCCATGCACCTGAGTGAGCTGAGGACAGTCGAGTGTTGCTAGAAGTTTCTGTGGGCCGGACCTTTTGGGAACAACTGTCTCTGTCAGACACACTGAGGCTTGGTCTGAAATATCACTGAAAGAAAGTGTGGAAAAAAAAGGTTATTTAAAAAAACATAAATTTTAAAATTATTTTTAAAACATATATATTAGTAGTAAATGTATATATATATAAAACAACAAAATAATATATATTGAAAACCAATAATTTTATGTTATGTGTGTGTATATACATATATACAGTGCCTTGCGAAAGTATTCATACCCCTTCATTTGTTTTCATGTTTTGTTATGTTGCTGCCTTATGTTAAACTGCTTTAAATTACTTTTTTTTCCACATCAATCTACACTCCATACACCATAATGGTAATACAAAAAGAAAAAACAGGTTTTTAACATCTTTGCAAATTTATTAAAAATAAAAAATATTCCATTGCATAAGTATTCATACCCTTATTTGGGACAGTTGAAATTTAGCTCAGGAGCATTCATATTGCTTGTAGATGTTAGTACACTTCGAGTGAAGTTAACCTGTGGCAAATTCAATTCAATGGCTATGATTTGGAAATGCACACGTCTTAATAAAATGTCTAACAGCTGAAAATGCATATCAGAGCAAAAACCAAGCCCTGAGGTCAAAAGAACTGCCTGTAGAGCGCAGAAACAGGATTGCATCAAGCCAAACATCTGGGGAAGTGTTCAGAAAAAATTCTGCTTCACTGAAGGTTCACAGAAGCATGTAGTCTCTGTTACTCTTAATGGAAGACGTCTGAAACAACCAGGACTCTTCCTAGAGCTGGCCTCCTGGCCAAACTGAGCAGCTGATGGAGAAGGGCTTTGGTTAGCATGGTGACCAAGAACCTGATGGTCACTCTAGTTGAGCTCCATGATCATATGTGGAGATAGGAGAAACCTACAGAAGGACAAACAT